TTGTATCTCGCCAAGACTATCACTGAATCTGGTCCCACGATGCGTCTCCCAACAATCCCAGTTAGGGGACAGTTGCAAACAGTGCAAGAACCTATATGTAGTGCTAGCCAAAAGTGGGTTAGGTAGGGAGAAACATGCAGTATATATGGGATGATCACAGTTAATAGACATTCTTCCTGAAAGGAAGTTACGTGGGTGGCGATGGAAAACATGATCAAATCAGGTGACGGCCCTCTGTTTGTTATCCTGACTCACGCGCATCCAGTACCATCAAGAAAATGTCAGCACATTCAGAAGATTGCGATTGGTCCCAATTCATTTTTGATTCATAACGTGAGGATTTTCAGAGAATAGTAGGCTCCCCTGACTGCATCTAAATTTATCCGATCGCAGACATCATATGATTACTGAACACTAGGACAATAGTTNATAGTTGATATAGTATGCGAAATAATGTACCCAAAGTTTGGAATACTAACCAAATGAAAAAGAGTTTCTTTCCGCAAGATACTTCCTTAAATCAGAGGAAAGCTATGCAGTTAGACACAATAGACAGACAAAACGGCGAAACAAAAATTAAGCATATAAACCCACGGAACCGAAAGAAGATAAACTCGTTTCTGACCTACGATAATCCCTTTTAAACCGCCGATGACCTCGTATCTGTCACATTATCAATTCAATGATACCAATATCATGTTTTCAATGTTTTCAATCAATCTTATGGGTAGTTATGTCTGTATTTCACTTTGAATAACAATTTCAAAGTAATCCAGCCAGAATAATTGACTTTAAGCTATCCTCAGATTTTACCATATAGAGTTACACCACCTACATTTTGCCACCAACATTTATCCACCCAAAATGACGGAAACCAATAAATGTGACTTTATATACTTCGCGGAACTATTTTCGTATTAATTTCAAACGAACAGTTCTACGGGACCGCTAGCAAGCTCTTGATCAAGATCTGAAAATCCGATATGTGTCATTTCGTTTATGATTACCATAAAGTATCTGAATGAGTCTAATTTCTAACATCTGATTGAAGTTCATTGTTTTTGTGACCGCTCCAGTAATGAATTATTGATGTAGATTTTCACTGAGCACCTTTGGCACCTCCTTAGTGAATAAAAATGAACCTGATTTATTTCATACCAATTTTCATAGCAGGACGGATTCGATAAATTTACAGATTTTGTACCTATCCAAATTGTAAAAGTATGAGGTTATTCATCCTGATGCAGAATATACACATATATTACTTTATTCGGTTAAATGCTAATACTAAACGGATTGACAAGGGCAAATGAGAAAGGTTGCATTACCAGAATTGGTAATGATGGGGATATATTTGGTGACCTTCACAAATGATGAATTAAGGATAAGATTGCTACACCACATCACCCAGACATTGGGCTTTACTCGAAACCACAAATTATATCACTATATTCTTTTAGAAAGAACCGACAGTAAATATCGTCCCCTGTATGCCGTCACTACTCAGGAACATTAATCACATATGTAATTGCTGGGTAGTCATGATAATGACTGGCAGCGTTTTCAGAAGCTTGGTCAGCGAATACAGGGTGATTATTTTATCCCTAACTTATGGTTTGACTCGATTATTGCTAACATTACTGTGGGCAATAGTTTGCAGAAAATAAAGTCGACATAGACATGAAGTTTGCACCAAAAAAGTAGACATCTGAATCAAAGTATTTTGCTATGAACTTATACAATGAGTCCCATTACTAAGTTGATGCAAATCTGTTTTCTATGGATATGTATTCGGATTTATCAGTCTAAAATATTAACCTAACCCAAACACCGTCAACAGCTCTGCAGTGATTTATAATAAACGAATCTGTTGAATTTATCCGCTTGAAAGTCAGTCAGTAGCGAATTTCATTTGATCAAAAAGACTTGTTCTCTGTTTAAACAAATGACCTGCAGATCATAATAGTGTTGTCCAAGCATTCTTTCGTTAATAAAGATTATAACTGGCAGTTTCTAGATAAATAATCGAATTCCCGCGATAGAGGGCTATTGCAAAAAGCTTGATAACAAAGTTATTATTGTGTCAAATGTCCATTCCGATAGAAACATATTCAGGTATGAAACACGGTTAACAAGATTTTTGCTTTCCCGGAATTGCTGCTTATTACGGTCCAACAATTTTCTGTACTTCAGTTTGTAGAACTACTAAATCATAGGAATTATAGAGAATAAGATCGGTCAATTTCTTAACTCCAATGAGTTAACAAAAGATTGTTGATGTGTCTACAGACTCATAGGACTGATAATCAATCGATATCTTACTTACAACAACAATAATAAGATAACAATCATTATTTATGGAACGGTGCTATTTCTAACAGAAACCTTCCATTTGTATGCCCCAAATTAAATAGATGAAAATGTTAAGAATCTCAAAAAATTTCCGTTTCGCTCCTAAGTCGATCAAATTTATAAAAGCCTCTTCGAGTGCTTGAGGATTAAAGCGCTACTTACTGGTTGTGTAGAAAAAAGGAAGCGATATAAGATAAGTTGGCGTCAACGTATTTCTGCACATTAATATTTGAAAAAAGCGGTAGCCAATGCATCGGTACGGGTTGCAACATCATAGGAAATGACTGTTGTTTTTTGACCGTCGATAAGGAAATTCACCTCACGACTTCCACCAATAAGAAAAGCACAGAAAAATATCATAATTTCAAACTGAATTGGAAGACCGAAAAAAATTGTTCCGTATGGCTTCACCGCTTCATCGTAAATGAATCGTAGTGATGCCAGAGGTAAAACGGGGTGTTTTTTGTGAACTCGGTTCAAAACGAGTTTCGCACTTTTTTCCAGTATATAGTATCTCATCCAGTTGTGCAAACCTTTAACTGTGTTTCTGCGTTTCTCACCAATGTAAACATGCTGAAATCCACAAGTAATGTCTGACCCTGGAGACATTTGATCCCACGAGTACAATCCAAACCACACTTGCCGGAAGCATATCTCAAATTCCGATAAATTATATGGGTATACCGATCGAGCATTAAGTATTTCATATACTGATCGAAAATTTGAAGTTTGAAACAAGTGCATTAGAAAATTATCAATCCTTTCACCTTGGTGTGTCTCGCTCCAGTGGAGAAGAATCTCTTTGGTGGCTAAATCCATCTCAGATCGAAATACTGTCTCCGGTGTGAGTTGCGGAGGCAACAATGGAAGAGGTGTGCTGTCTGAATTTCGAAGCCAAGGAACATGCGTTAGCTGCACATAGACTTTATCCGTTTTAACTGACTGAGCAAACTGATGGCTGAATAGCATCGACAGTTCATCCAAAACAGGTAGCGGTAAACCCCGAGGTATGGGTCGTGGTTGGTTTCTGTTCATCCGCACGATCGTGCATGCAATAAAATTTAATTGGATGGGCTACTGCATGAAAGAAGGGTTGAGTCAATATCAATGAAATTGGCATGCAAAAACGATTAAACATATAATACCACTTTACTATAACGGGTATTCTGTCCGACAGGAAGAGAGATCCATCTCATAAATTTGTTACTGTATACAACCTAAATCAATGATATCTTCCTAAACTTAAGATTATTCTATCAAGTGCAACGCAGGTCTTCAGTATTTTCTATTGTTCATTACTCGCGATTCTCCTTGCAAAGTAACGTTTCTACACTTCGTTATTCGGCAGATGTAACGATAATTTCCGTGCCATCAATTAGGGGAAGATTATATAAGTGCCTTGTCTGAAAACAACTCCGGTAGACCGCAAAAGTGACAGGTGTATCCGGAAAGTTGTGTGTAGCTAACCATAAGTGAAATGATTAGATCAATAATTGTAGTCTTGTGACTCAACTGATTGAAAGTACCGAGAAGTTCATGTGTGAGTTGAAAACTAACTAATACAATGGGATTGTATAAAATAGTCTTTTCCTCGTTCGAATTTCTATTATCACTACATAATTGGACCTGCCTCACTAAAAGGCATACAGCAATGAATTCCTTTGGGTCAATCAAAGCTTGAGCAAAGCAGTTGTCTCGGTATACGGAATGGTATCACTAAACACGATATTTGCCCATGGATAGTGCTTCCTGTAGCGCCCTTGCATTATGTGAGAAGAAACAAATTAGCAATTAAGAATATGGAAAATATGTATTGAGGAATCTGTCAAGCACGGGGAGTAGGCATTCGATAATTAACGTTTTCTAATATTTGACTGTGTTAAACACGTTTTCGAATATATTTTCTCGATCTTGTTAGGTTAGTTGGTGGAAAAAGGCTGGAATCAGACGGTTGATAGTGGAATAACGAGACAGGGACCTTTTTCATTCATATGTGCATATATATTCGTCAATAACCTTGCTTGAAACACCGGGTAATTTTTGGATAGACAGATTCTTAGACTGATAAGTATGTATAGTATTTGTTTCCATTGCAGCTGTCCATTTACTAACTGCAGTTCTCGAAGAGGATACCGTACGGAATAGATTTACCGTCTGAGGTAGTATGGATTGCACGGAATGGAAACTTACTGAACTTTTACCACACTTTTCCATAAAAGCTCATGTCGTGTGAACTTATGCTAAGTCAGAAAGTTGTAACAATTTTAAACGTTTTAAATTGAGAATGACGGTTTGTGGGCCACAATAATCCCTTAATTTGTGTACATATCCTATTTAGTGTTCGCTTATCCTGCCGTTTCGAGTCTTTGATAGTTCGTTTCATTTACTCATACAAAACTGAAGTTCCTTGAGTATTCCTCAAACTTCTCGTCGCGTTATGTTTAGCATGATTAATATACGGTAACCTAAACCAAGAAATGTATCACTCGATTTGAGTGTTTGGAGAATTTCGTCGTTCAAAAAGATGGATCCTGAAGTGAAAAGATAGGCACTGGCCAGCTGTTTTGATCTGGTTGGTTCTCATCAGAGGTGCAAACCCACCAATCCGACTGACCATAGAACCCGAGACCCCACATGTCCAATGCAAGCATTTTACCCACTTGATTTATGGGTAAATAATCAGACCATTTTTAGTTCCCGAAAAGCGACATTGTTATTATTGGGATTCTCTGGGTATGATGGCATTAGGCTCACATAGACTAGTTCTGCTATATCGTTTATAGGCAAATGAGAAATAGTCTAATCAGCTGGCCGGTAGTTAAGTAGGCCATATACTTGGATTCGATCCTCAGTTGGATCGATGCATTCCCACTGCTGATAAAAATTAACCAGGTCAAAACAATAATCCAGTGCTTGTGATCATTTCAGCTCACACTTCATAGGTACTCCTGCGACTAAATTTACAAAAAACAAAACTTAAGTACTAAAACCTGTGTTTGAGCCGTGTGACGCGAGCTAAAATTATCTTATGTAGCCTGTTTGAATCATGCATATTTTTATCATTCCTTAGAACTTATAACATTCTGGTAGTTATAAATTTGTCTGTAATCAATTCAGATCTCACTAACACACTATATATATTTTGATACAATACGTTCGCTTTAATCCTACGAATCTTCCGCTAGTTAAAGTGATCTAAATGGCATCCATCATCATATTTTCAAAGGGAGAATTCTTAGGCGTGAATCAATTGTGTATTGTTGGCAATTAACATCAAATTTATTTTCCGAAAAACAAACGGTACTATTATCACTTATTCAGACGAACACATGAGAGGATTTGAAATCAAAATCTTTGTGATATATCCAAACCACAAGGGTAAATAGCATGAAAGCGATGGCCACAGCGAAAAATCTAATCAAATGCATTTGAACGAGCGCGAAACGAAGGGCTAAAACGGAAAATGCAGATCGTCACCCATTTCTTCCTGATGATTGACTTACTGGTGTTTAAAACCGGTGGGTAATATTCTAGCTGACTATCGTCACTCGATACGTCTCCTAACGACCGGATCCTCCGAAGCATACCGGACTCTACCACCACATTTTTGGGATTGGATCCATTTAAACGATATCGACTGGGACTTAGCTCATCATCAGGTGTACATGATCCAACTATAGCTGATCCACTGGGGTCGCGTGATCATGTAGGTCATGTGATTTTATGTTAGCTATTGTTATGCCAAACGATTAATTCAGCTGCTGGATACTATTGATTTGACTTACAACTGCTTCTATCGTGTATTTCTGGTTGGGGAGAAAATGCCGCTTGGGTTTGTTAATTTACCATTCAAACGATGTGCGATTCCCTTTGTCAAATTACTTTAGGAGCAACTATGCTTCACCAAACATTTCATTATTCCATACTTGCTGACGGACCGAACTGAAATTAGATTCATAAATAACATTCTGGCAAGAGTTCTGTCATTTTCTAAAGACTGTACAAGTGTTATTTGGCTGGTTTACATCCTGTAAACTGATTGGTCATTACTTTTGACCAATCCAGTTGTTGCCCAGTGTGACGTTACCATATATTCTGTGGGGATGCGTGTGTTTACAGACAGACAATTCAGCAACTAGCCGATTGTGTATGCCAAGCTGAGGGATCTAAGAACCTTTAATCAAATGCACTATTTAGGCTCAAATGGTTCCATTGTAAAGGAACACGATGTGGATGTTTTTCAAACTTCTTTGTAAGTTCGTTAGAAAACATTTTTACTTTTTTTAATAAAATAACCATGTATTTCAATAAATTGTGATTTTAATTTTGATCCTAAAATATACAACGCTAGAAGTATTTGAGCCTTGAACAGATTAGATTCTTCATTATTCAAAGGCTTGTTATATCATCGGACTGGATAGCTTATTGGTTGCGCATTGCTGACAATAGTAACCTAAGTGAACCTGATTATGCAAGTACCCTCCGGATCTAAACACTGGAATTTAAAAAATTGTTTCACCAGAAAGCAGATTTATTCAGAACGCCAGATTTTGATCGAAGTCTGCACAATATTCCTTTCTTATAAATTTTTCACCTCGTACGCGTTTCAGCAAACATCAAACTCTTTGAAATATTCCAAAGCTAACGGTTTATCCAACATTTAACACTGATATAATTATAGTTAACAATATTTAAACAAGTTAGGACTTTTAATTCAAAAATTTTCCAGCAATTATCAGAATTTGGTGAATAAAAGTGCTTTATGCAATACGTATAACCAGTAATAAAAGAAAGACTAGGACATGAATGAAAGAGTTTTGTCCTATTAAATTGAAAACGTTGGGCTTTAAATAAAAACAAATAAACAAAAGAGTGCCTGGTTTTCCAGTTTTCTCATTATGCGTTGTTGCATTTAATTATACAAATTTCGTGTGAAACCACACTGTTTATTTGTGCCTTTAACTAGGCAAAATAACTTTCAGGAACAAGGTACGAAACCATTCAAAACTGACTGCGAGAAACTATTGCGGAGACTATTACACATTTGCGATGTAAAAATATAATACCTTAGATTACGGTTTTGGAGTAAATAGCTCTTGTTGACGCACAAAGAATTCATTTGTGATTAGACGTAGTACCGGATTTGTTTGGTTCGCCAGTCGCTCAGTTAAATCAAATGTACGACGATACACCAGTTGAGTTCTGATCATATTTTAATAGAATCAAATTGTTCTTTACATCATAGGTTCTTAAGTGGATAATGATTTTGCTCATAAACTTGGTTCCGCCTGATTTGTTCTAGTCATATTATAGGACTCTATTTTCTTTATCCGATGTTCTTTATTATATGAACATTATGATCTGAGGGTTTTGTGCCATATATTTGTAGTTTCTCATGCGAAATTTAGTTTCAATTTGAACGGTCAATAGCTGTCCCGCATTGAATATGGCTGGTATCTTTTGGGTGTCGCTTTAGTCGACCGATAAGAAAGGATTAGATAAGGGTTGAAAGCTTGAAGTACTAACATAATAAAATTATGACCGCTGCTGTCTGCGACAGTCACCCACATCACTCAGCGTTTCCAACCGCTTGGTTGGTCTTGATATCCTCCAACAGAACTTTAATTTGACTTATGTGCCTGAATCTCTTGGTCATGTTTTGCCTTTTCATATGAAGTGCTGTGACTTGTTTGTGCGGGCACAATGCTCATCCAATATACCAGGTGTTTCCCTGGCATATCCGAAATCGAAAATTTACACTTCATCACAAATTATTTTCACTTCACTCCGAATCCTAGTTTCCGATAACTCCAAAGTGTGCCAATCAACTATTGATTTCACTCCCTTTCATACATCTCTACTGTTTTCAGTCGAACGTGGTGGCAAATGTTGGTGTCGGTTTCTATAAAATTATGCAGCTGAGGCCAACCCATACACCTACCGAGAGTTTTTTCCTCGCACTTTTCTAGCAAGTGGAATTGAATTATTTGCATGGGTCCCAAAAATTAGTTGTGCTTTTCGTGCATTCACACACT